GCTCCGCGTCGGGGCTGGCCGCGACCCCCGCGCCGCGCCTGTTCAGAGTCCGAGGGGAAGGACCGGCCCGCAGCGACGGAGTCACGCTGGTGCCTGTCTGTCGTCTGCGCAGTGCCGGGTTGGAGCTCTCCGCCGCGTTTGTGCGTTCTCCACCCACCCGCGACGCACCGCGCTGCCCCTTACTCTGTGGCCGTCGTGTGTTCCCAGAGCCCACGAGTTAGTGGTGGTGACTTGGTCACTGGGTTTGCTCGGGTCAGCCGCTCTTCCTTTAGCATTCGCCCTCTTGCATTCTTTTTAGCAGCTGTGTAATACTCCATCGCGTTTGTATTCCTCCGTTTCCCGTGTCGGTGGTTATTTAAGTTGATTCCAAGTTTCTATTGCGAACAACGCTGGAAACTCAGGGGCCCACGTATCTTTTGCATTAGTGTTTTCAAAGTCTTAGGTGCATGGAGTGGTATTGCTGGATTGTATGGGATTCCCATTGCGTGCTGTAAGGAACCTTTATACCGTGCCCCTAGAGGCTGCACAGATTTACATTCCTATCATCAGTGTAAGAGAATTTCTTTGCTTTTTTTTTCTTTCCTAGTCTTTTTGATCAATAAAAGCTTCCTTATAGGTGTGAGGTGAGATCTCACCATTTGTTCAAGAGACTCTTCTTTTCTCCATTTCATGGTCTTAAATTTACTGTCCATACAAGTGTAGGTTTATTTCTGGGTTCTCAGTTCTATCCCATTGACCTGTATCTCTACTTTTATTCCAATACCACACTGTTTTAATCTCTTTGTAGTATAGTTCGAGTCAGAGTGTGTAATGCTTCCATTTTTTTTTTTTCTTTGCTCTCAAAATTGATTGGGGTATTCAGGTCCTGTCGATTGCCATACAAACTTTAGAATTACATGTTCTATTTCCTTGGAAAATACTATTGGGGATTGTGTTATATCTGTAATTTGCTGTAAGTAATATGGCCTAAGTAAAAGTCAACAATGTTGACTTTTCAAATTCTTGTGCTCAAGATCTTTTTCCATTTACTTGTATCCTTTTAAAGCAACTTTTCATTCTCTGGTCTGTTTGAAGTTAATGATTTCCCATCACTAAAACAGTAACTGCCAGTAAGAGAATTCATTTAAAACTACACAAACATTTTCTGTCCTTTTACCCAGTTCAAAATTGTCTAAGAAAATTACAAAAGTTCTATGAAGATGTTCCTGTTGATGTCCTAGGGCAACACAGATGAATACAAAGTTGTTAGAAGGTAGATGTGTGGGTTGTGAGAGGGAATTAAAGTTAGGTGTTTACATTAAGATTTACTTTCACTTTCCTATGGGGAACTTACTTTTGGTTTGGTGAATGAAGGACCCCAGAGTTTATTTATCCCAAATACCCTTGTCTTCTTGATTGTTCTGTTACCTTTATTCTGTGCTTATGAGATTCAGAGGCACCTGGGGGTGCATGGCTCAGGTTTGGGTGGGATGACAGGGTCACAGTGGGGGAAAAAAATCTTTGAGAATGTCATTACATCTTTCTTTATGAACTGGAGGCTTTATCATCTTGACAAGAGCAAAACTAGCCGTGCTGCAGGAAATTCTCTTTTTATATATGTACTTTTTTAAATTGAGAGAATGTTGGTTTACATCCATGTTTGCATTTTGGAAGCATACTGAAAAACCAAATTAGTATCACCTAACAGCTAGTTAAAAATGCAGAATCCTAGGCCCCACCCTAGATCTTTTGAAAAAAAAAAATTTTTTTTTTTTGGTATATTGCAACTATGTCTTTTTTTTTTTTTAAACCAAGGTAAATGATGATTTAAATGTTGTTTGTGTTGTAAAGACATAGGATTTCCTCCTTCAGATATTGGTAGCTCACCACACCCACCACCAAAGCACCCACAGTTCATCCCTTTGTTGTTTCTGGCCTCTTCGATGTGGACCATTCTTACAAGTGTGAAGTGACACCTCATCGTGACTTTGATTTGCACCTCCCTGATGATCAGTGATGCTGAGCATTTTTTCATGAGCCTGTTGGCCATCGTTAGGATTTCTTGGACAACAGCCTGTGTAGTAGCTCTTGTATGCATTTTTTGATTGTGTATTTTCTTTTTGTTGAGTTGTATGAATTCTTTGTAGATCTTCGATACTAGCCCCTTGTCAGATTGATGCTGTGCAGATATTTTTCCTTCTCATTTGGGTATCTTTTCGTCGTAGTGATGCCTTCTTTCACTGTACAGATGATTTTGTTTTAGGGCATCTCAATTGCTTAGATTCTCTTTTGTTTTCATTGCTGTCGTGAGGAATCCACAAAGATTTCACTAAAGCTTATGCTCTAAAGCATTTTGCTGGTTTTTGTGTTTCATGGTTTGGATTCCTTTGATTCCCTTTTCTTGCCTAATTGTTCTAGCTCAGACTGTGGTGAATAGCAGTGGTATGCATGGGTAACCTTGTCTTGGGCCAGAGCTTATTGGAAATATTTTCAGTTTTTCACCATTGAGAATGGTGCTAGCTGTGGGTTTATGATGCATCCCTTCTTATGTTGAGGTATGCCCTGTGCACCCCTAGTTTTTTGAAGGTTTTTATCGTAAAATGATGCAGCACCCAAAAATGTCCATTAAGGCCGTGCGATCTGACTTTTTTGTTTAAGGTTATTATGTCCCTATTTATTTTCATTCTGGTTGATCTGTCCATTGGTGAGAGTTGGGTCTCCATCCACGAATGTGTTTCCCAATGTCTGTTTTCACATTTGATAATAATTGCCTAGTGTATTTAGGTGCTGTTTCCTTTGGTGAATATACATCGATGAGTGTTATGTTGTCCTGGTGTGTTCCCTTAATCATCATTTAGTGTCTATCCCTGTGTCTTACTACCCTTTTTAGCCAGAAATGTTTCATGAGCTGTGAGTATGGCTGGCCCTGTCTTCCTTCGCATCCCTTTTGCTTGTAGGGTTATTTCCCTACCCTTTATTCAGAGTCTGTGTTCATTTTTGGCACTCAGTTGCATTTCCTGGAGACAGCAAAGATACTGGATTCTGTTTCCTAATCCAGTTAAATACTGTTCCCTTTTTTGGTGTGTCCATACCACTTACTTTTGTTAGAGATTTATTTGTGCACGCATCCAAGAACCGGAGTACACAAGAGGTATGGGGGGTGGAGGGTCGGTGAGAGGACTCACCAGAGACAGAGTGGGGAGCAGGACAGGTGGATTCACTGAAATCCACTGCTGAGGGGAGCAGCGGGAGGGACAGGAGAGATGTGGGGCCCTGTGGGTCACTCCCTGGCTGGGACTCGAACTCTTGCTGCAGTGACTGCGGACAGCTTCAGTGCTGTGCTTTAACATGTTGCACCACCAGGGAGGGCCCTTCGTCCACTCAAGTGTAGAGTGATTGCGAATATATGAAAGTCTGTTCTTGCCATTTGTCCTTAATTTTGTAGTTCTGTGTCTGCGTTCAGTTCTTTGTGTATGTCCCTCTGTAGTTTTGCTGTGAGAGCTCTTTTCAGTACTTCTGGAGGGGGGTCAAGTGTTTGCAAATTCCTTAGGTTTTTGTTTGTCTGAGAAGGCCTTTATTTCCCCCTCTTATATAAAGGAGCTTTGTAGGTTCAAGTATTCTTGGCTGGCAGTTTCTGTCTTTCTGTCTTAATTATTTGATCGTATCGTTCCATCCTCTGCTTTCGTGTAGGATTCCTTCAGAGAACCCAGTGTTCATCCGATGCGCAGGCAGCGTCAGCAGCAGCATGCAGCCCTCTGGTGAGGCCCCAAGACTAGTGGCGGATGCTCATTGGAGCCAGCAGCAGCAGAGAGTGGGGCAGCACCAGCAGCTGAAGGCTGAGAGAGCAAAGAATGGAGAGGCATAAAACAGGAAAACCCACAACATGCGTCCTTGAGGGAATACTGAACAGCAGAGAGAGAACACATCTCCAGAACCCAGTCACAGAAACTTGGAAAATCATCCTTCCTATTAGACACAGAACTCAAAACTGCCTCAGAAAGGAAGTGAAGGGAAAAAATCAGAAAAACAAATGAATGTCCCGAGAAATGAAATCAGCAAACTGAAGATTGAAATTGGAACTTTAAAGAAGAAATTGATGGTGGACCTGCAGTATAAAAAAAATTTAACAGAGTAGATGGAAAATTCTGAGATTCCTGAGGTCTGTAAATAATTGCCTTTAAGGATAAAAATAAATAGAAATTAAATAAAAATAGACCTCAATTAAGAGGTGTCAAATGTACACCCTCCACTGCCCGGGTGGCTACACACTGCCAACTGCTCTGTGCCCTTCCCACCACTGCTTCTACCAGCGGTGCCAGTTCTGGAGCTTCAGGGAAAGGGGATTAGTTTCTTTGTGCCTGACTTTTGTGAGTAGTAGTGGTTCGAAGGATGGCTGTTCCAGGTAAAGGAAATGTAATTTATGGAATAAATACATGATTTTTTTTCTTTTGTTCTTAAAATGTAGAGCAGAGTGGTGGGCGCTCACATGGGATGTTTGTGCTTATTATATGAAGTATGGCAGTGTGTAAAGGGAGAGCGTTCCAAACCGCACCAGAAAAAGCCCTACTGCGCATTATAGGGAATATTCTCATAGATTCGCCACACTTTTAAGTATAAATCCTGTTCTCATACATATTTTTATATTTGCACTGCATTTCTGCGTCCTGCGTCTTGGACAGCACGTGAAGCAGAGGGACTGAGGGTCATGTCCTAATCAGAAGTCACAGCCTTCTCTGGCCATCTGTGGAAATAGTGGCCAACAAAATGTGGTTGGATTAGCATTTATTTGCTATACTTACTTGTCACACAGAACCTTTATGGCCAGGCTAAAACAGAAAAAATAGTATGTGAATGCAGTAGAGTGAAGCCTGACCGTGAAGAGCTCGTATGAGGACCAGCGACCGGCCTGCATCATGCCCTCAGCAGGCCCAAGCCTCCAGCTCCCTCTGTGCTTTCCTTCCCCTGCTCGCCTAGTCTGAGGAATCCCAGGTTGGTCACGAAGTTCCTGCAGCCCAACTCTCCTACTGTCCAGGCCAGATTTCTTAGTGCTGCTAACCCCAAATGCCTCCTGGCCACCTTTGCCCATCCTGCCCTTGCGCCGTCTCTTCCATCCGTTCACATTTCCGGGTAATGCCTTGATGGCATCGGTCGCAGCTCTTCTCCCAGCTTGTGCCTTTTCGTAGGTCCTTGTTAATCTTGTCATGCTTTGACATTTCATTTGAATTTCGGATTCACTCTCTTCCTTTGTGTTTCGTGGTTTTTAGTGTCTTGTTTAAGAAACCTTTTACTATTTCACAATTACGAAGGTGCTCGTCTATATTTTCCGCACAGTTTAAAACCTTCATTCTTTAGATTTTTTCATTAACCTTCCATTTTTGGTGCATGAGCTAGAGACATATTTTTTATATTTGAAAAACTTATTGTTGTTGAATTTTTTATTGTAACTTAATTTTCACCGTGGGTAATGTCATTGGCGTCAAATCTGGTTTCTGCACATCCATGGATTGCTCCTTCCTTTCGCTGGTCACTATGTTCTCATGTGAACATCACACTGTCACAGTGATTCTACTTTATAATGAGAAGTAATAGCAGCAGGATGTTAACAGCAGACGATAGCCATCGTCTTTCTTCACCATTACCTTTGCAGTGTCAGGTGCTTTATCACTCTGTTAACTGCAGAGCCCGCTTGCCAGCTTAAGACATTTATAGGAAATGTCAGTTTCCGCCTGTTTCTTCTCTGCTCCTCAGTTTCTCCTCTGCTTTGCACTGGCTGCTGGTGGTGGTGGTGATGAAAGATACTCATTTTTTAGTGTCTTCGTGAGTGGTTGTTACCTTTATCACTCTATCAACCTGGACTTTTAAAGACCTTCAGTACAGAAGCTCCATCAGCCCACCCCTGGATTTATTCTTATTTTCCCCTCCTCCAAAAGTGGCTCCAAATCTTCACTGTCCTACATTATTTGATTAAGTTTTCTGTTGGTACCTCTAAGTTATTTTGAACTCAGATGCTCTTGGTTTTTGCTTACCAGGGAAACTTTTTATTGCCCTCATTCCTACGCATGGCTGTAACTCCTCTTGTACTGAGCATCTTCCTTGTTCATGTCTCGCTGCTCACTGTCATCTAGAGCTCATCTTCCAAATCCTCCCACGCTCAGTAATCTCTCAAATGTTCATTTTCTTCTTCTCTACTACCGCTATAACCGGGTGATTGCCAGATTTTTCACTGTCACCAAATAATTTTTTAATTGAGAAATCCACATAGGTCGGCCAACTTTTTATTTTGCAAAGAAAAAGCACTTGAAAGTTACATAACAAAACAAAGCAAAAACTACCATCATTTCCTACTGAAGGCACAACATGGTAGCTGAGACCACACACTCTGGAGCTGGACAGGGTAGACTAGAATTCTGGCGCTGCCAGGGTGTATTCTATAACCAGTCGAAATGTAAACAATTCCTACCTCTTACTGCTGTATACACTAATTTAGTGAGCTAAAACATACGAGGCAATCTGGAGAGTCACTGCCACGGAGATGCACACAGGTAGTGTCACACTGCACATCGCTGTCCACACCTCTCTGCTGCAGCTGCACCTGACTGTGCTCTGCAGGGGTTGCTCTGGGACTGGTGGCTCTGACAGCACCTTGCGTCAGCACGCTCCCGTCCGGCCTTGGCGCCTCCTTAAGGTTGCTGTAAGTACAGAATGCCTGAGGGAGCCCATGCGCTTTCTGGAGAATCTTCTGTCTCCTTTTATTCTGAAAAGGTAGATCAAAAGTACATAATGCAAGTTAATCTTGAGGGGGGAAAGTGTTTCACGTGACGCACACAGAGGTGCGTGTGTTAGACTTCTCGACTGCAGCTCTGAAAGCTCAAGGATAAGGAGCGGTGCTCCAGAATTCTCAAAGAGAATTACTTCTAGTTTAAAATTCTTCATTAGTCCAAGGGAGCAACTGTGAAGCTAAAAGTTACTTTCAAGTCTGAAAGTCTCAAAAAGATACATTCCATGCATCCTTTCTAAAAAGCTAATGCAGGATGTATACCCCCCCAATGACCAGTAAACCAAGAAAAGGTGGGACATGAGCTCAAGAGAACGTGAAATCCAAAATAAGAGCAGTGAAGGGAGCTATAGACTGATGGATTGCAACATTTGGGTGAAATTCATGGAATACCTAATGCTTGAATAAACAGAGAAACTTATTTTCCTGGGCTATACTTTCGGGTTAAGTGAATGATTGCATGAGAAACTAAGTGAAATTTACTAAATCTGTCAACTTTTTTCAGGAGATAACACAACTTATTGAAAACAGTATTTTTATTTTGGTGTTTGGCATGCTTACACTACACGCTTCCCTTCTGTAAGAATCCACATTTTAACTGCCTTGCTGTACCCAGTTTTCAGCGGAAATATACAGTGAACTTAAACACACAATTAGAAACAAAACAAAAATCAATTGACAACAGATGGTAAAACTTTTAAAATCCTCTTCAATACACTCTGATACCACAAACAAGGAGGGTACAGAATTGCCCGGTGCGGCATTCTGGAGAAGCGGTAGGAGAGGGAACTTGGAAAGGCCAGGCTGAAGTGCTACGTTTGCAGTTAGCGACTAGAAATACAGAGTAGCGAGATGCATACGCACAGTAAAGACAACTCAGTGGATCTCTGAAGTTTTTTTTTTGTTTTTTTTTGGGGGGAAGTTACCTTTTTGTGCCTTAATAATTGTATGCTTATTATAACCTTCACATGCTCATTAAAATAATAGGGCTTTCTTATTTATGTCATCAACTTATGGAACTGTTCTACTTCAAGTGTGATGATCTAGACATTAATGAAAACAGGAATGTGACTAATGGAACTAATAATACCTTGCTTTATATTACCCAACTTTTTTGTTTATCTTGCCTTTGAGCTTATAAACCTAGCGACGTTTTATGGCTAATACCATTCAGATTAAAGGCTTCCGGTAATACCTCGGTAATATGGCTGATCTGTTAAGATAATCTATAGGTTACACACTGCAGGAAATTAACAACTGAAGAACATAAGCATGGCCATGTTTAAGTGGGTAATTTCCTATTCCTCATTCACATCAACTTAAAATATTTAACACATCAGTTTGATATTCACAACTTTTCACCTGCATTTCCCACTTGTTATAATTACAAAATGCATTGTTTTTTGCAACTATCTTTACAGATTGCAAAAAAAATAGGTATCCTATTTATAAATTTTTAAAACTTTACATACACATCCTTGATTATACACAGGCAATTTCTGGAGCAATACATAGAAGTATCATGACTTCTGTGGAAGAAAGAATTGATGAGGTTTCTTTCGACTTTGTATTTTTCAACTTCATACAAGTATTTTATAATTTGAAAATTTTAATTACAAACCGTAAAAATGTTTGGATGAAAAAAAAATTTTCTTTGGATGAAGAGAAAAGCCTGGGGAAAATCCACGTTTATAATTGAAGTCTTTACCCTGCTTTCAGAAAATCCACAGTTGTAGCAGGCAGAAAATCAGTGCAGATACAGAGGACAGTGTTTCCATCAATAAGATAAGCCTGATTGACAATATAGAATGGCAGTACTTCACCCAGTAATAACAAAACATTCTCAAAAAAATACATTTGTCTTTATAAAACAACTTGTATACAAAAAGATAATAAACAGTACATTTAGAAGAATATAGTACAAGCTACAATGTAGTAACAGCACAAGGGAATAAACAATATAACTGAAAACGAGTTGGACAGAGGATATGAATTCAGCAAAAAAAATCCAGAGGTGCTCAGAATTAGAAAAATCAGGAAAATGCAGATCAATTAATGAAATGTCTCAGATTGACAGACCATTTTTTTCCCATTCAACTGCCATTTGTGTGATAGAGACTGAACTAAACAAACATCTAATGTAGTGTTTACAAAGTACTATGCAGTGAATCTTGACCCTGTTTCACAGTTGAGAAAAAGACCAGCTACATAACTATGACATGAATCATGTAAAGGAGACTGGGAGTTCACTGTGAAACTACTATTCTTTTTGAGTAGATAATTCATTCAAATTTGTGTGTGATCTAGAGGGAGATTAATGTTTGGAAAGCTTCCCCACGAATTTATAGTCTCCCTTTTTTTCAAAGCAAAAGTTATGCTCTGTTCCACAACTCACTTGTTTGGGTAACATCTTAAAGGCTGACGTAGCTCCATAATGACAGTAGATCACTGATGACTCCAGACCCTACCATGTCACTCCTGGGAGTGGGGAATGCAAGGAGAGTAAACCTCAAGGGCATGTCATGGAAGCTGTGGCCATCGTATCCACGTAGAGCTGATGGATCAAAATGTCATGTCATGTGGCCCCACCTTTAAGGTGTGATGGAAGGCAGTCCTCAGCTGGAGGCAGGGTACCAAGCTAATACCAAAGGAAGAGAAGAGAGGACACCGAATAAAGGACATGGTCTCAGCCATGACAAACTAGACATATGTGAGCTAGCTAGCAAGGGATCAGGGACACCCCTTCTCCCAAAACTTAACGTATTTGTGCATTACAAACCCATACCAAAATGTAGTGGCTTAAAATTTACGTTTCACCATGCGATGATGTGGCTGCAAAGTTGTGTTTATCCTAGGGCTCACCCACATGACTCCCTTCACACAGTTTCGACCCAGGTTTAGCCGTAGCATAGTGTCCAGAAGGTGCAACAGCGAAGCTACTAAGCCTCACTGGGCCGCGTCAAGGAAGTCACACAAAATCCATCTGTGTCCTCTGATGAGAGCAGACCATCAGGCTAGTCTGCTATTCAAGAGGAAGGGAATAGTATAACTTAAAACAGGTTCATGGCAGCTAGGTATGATGTGACCGTATCATTCTGCTTTATTTTGCTTTCTAGAATAATGCCAGTGTTTCAGCTCACCCTGTAGTGTATTACCTCCCAGGAGAGGCGACTAAAACCAGGAAGAAAGAGGAATCGCTTCTAGCTGAAGTGGTGGGTTTCATGGAAAGTATGGAATCTAAAGGAAGAACAATTTGATTGGAGAGAGGGACAAGCAGACACAAACCAGCAGGCTCTCTCGGTTAGAAAATTTAAATGTGAAATAAATGATGTACCCTAAAGTAAAAAGACCCCTTTATTGACCACCCTGGAAATAAGAGTATTACCAGTTATCTAGAACACTCTTAGATAATCTCCCAATAGCTGTCCTGACCCTTCTCTCCAAATGTAACCCCTCTTCTAACTGCTAGCCAGAGATCCGTTTTGCCTGGCATGTAACTGATACAAGTACGTATTTCACTACTGTGTTTGGGATTCATCTGTGTATGTACAAGGGATCTGTCCATTGTCATACTCTGTATTTCATCGGGTAAAGCAAGTATATTCATTCTATTGTTGATTTGTGACTTGTTTCTTCCTTTCGGCGACTAGCCAATCACAGTGGCACAGCATTATTTTATGTCTGTTTATGCATGGAAAGGCATTCCTGTTGAAAATACTGCGGGATTAAGTTTCGTGTTCATTGGGGTATGCTCAAGTTTTGTAACAAGTGATGGTTTTCCAGTATTTGTGTTAACTATATCCCCTCTGCAATACCTGAAAGCTGTGTTTTCTATGCCCTGGGCAGCACTTAGCATTGTTAGCTGTTTAACTTTAGCCATCCTGATAGGTGTGTAGTATTTCATTTGCCCATTAATGTGTGGCTTCCTTGTGACTCCTGAGGGTGAGCATCATTTTACATCATCTGCCATTTAGAGACCCTCTTTTGAAGGATTCAAGTTAATTTACCCCAGGGGCATTGTTATATTAGGAGGACAATACATATTAAGCACTATATTGTTCCTTAACATCACAGTAAGAAAGACATGCTTAGAAAACTGAAGCAATCTTCACTTGGATTCCTGACCAACAGAGCCAGTGCTGTTACGGTAGGAAGAGCTACAGAGAAGTGGGGAACTGCCTCTCCCTTCCCAGCCAGGAGCAGTGCTGCATCCCTGGGCTAACTGCGGGCATGGTGAGTCATACCACATTCCCATTTAAATTCCAGTGTGGTCACCAGGTTGGTCACAGAGGATGACAAACCAGCTAGGTAGTGAAGCATGACAGGGGATTGTTACAAGGATTAATCAGGTGGGGCTGCCGAGGGCAGTTGCTGTTCTAGGTGTGACATCTTTACTGTAAGAATTAACAGACTCACAGAAGACACTGCTCTGCAATGCTCCGCCCACTGCCATTCACAAGGGGATTGCATTTAAATGCAAGCACAGTAGTGTCAGGTTTGTGTCAGCTGTCCTGTGAAGGTAAGGAACCTTGATCTGTCATAAGACACTGGTCTGTCACAGACCAGGAAGTAGCAGGCCCTCCAGAAGCTTTGGTAAGGGAGATGCAGGGTACACCCCACCCCACTATTTCTCATTCTTTCCCAAATGTCTCTGGGTTAGCATTATTCCATCTTTTTGTTTGGATTAGGTTTTTAGTTATGTATTCTTTTACTTTTTACTCTAGAAGTTAGAATGTGCACCTTTGACATTTAGACTTTACCTGCTTCCTGACTATGAGCAAACACTGGAAACCACTGGAAGTTGGCCTCTGCCCTCAATTGATGTTACTACTGCTTTAGGGCTTTATATATATATATATATATATATAAAACATCATTTTTTTTACAGTGTTTGCTTTCTCTTCTCAGGTGTAGACCCATAAAATTCCCACTACCAGCTGACCCTTGTACCATAGTCTCTGTACCCCTCATACCCTATCTTGATCCCTCTCCCTCTTCCTCCCCTGCAGAATGTCTCTGATTTATAGTTGTTTTGTGTTTTTTAAAAGTATTTCCCCCCTGGGGTCCTCCCTGGTGGTGCAGGGGGTTAAAGCACAGCACTAAGCTAAAGCCACTTCCGCATGAGTTTGATCTCCGCCTGCCCCGGAGGTGACCACATATGGTGCGGCAGACCTCTCCTGACCCGCCCGCTGCTCCCCTCAGCAGTACTTCATCCATCTGCCTGTTCTGCTCCCCACTGTCTCTGGTGAATCCTCTCACCCTCCACATCTCTGGCCTGTACCCCAGTTCTGTATGAATAAATCTTTTTAAAAAAAAGTATTCCCCCCCCGATCCTTTATTTGGTTCCCCTATATTCCTCCTGTAAGTGAAACCATCTGTTAATTTCCTTTTTCCTTCAGACTTCACTGAACATAATCCCTTTTAGCACCATCCATGTTGCTGCGAATGGTGTCCATTTATCTTTTTGATGGCCGAATAGTATTCCATCGTGTATTTGTACCATATCTTTTTTGATCCAGTCATCTATTTTTTGGGGTTTGGGTGGTTTCAAAGTCTTAACCTATTATAAATTGTGTTGCAATCAACATAGGGGTGCAGGTTTCCTCTTAATAGTTTTCTATCCTTTGGGTAGACCCCTAGAAGTGGCATTGTTGAGTCATATGTTAGTTCCATTTTTAGTAGTCTGAGGAACTTCCACACAGCTTTCCATAGTGGCTGAACCAGTTTGCATCCCCCCAGCAGTACAGGAGAGTTCCTTGTTTTCCACATCTTCACCAGCACTTGCTGCCTATTTTTGTAATAGGTGCTGTTCTCACTGGTGTGAGGTAGTATCTCATTGTGGTTTTGTTGTGTGTTTCCCTGATTATGAAGGACCTTTTTTCATATATCTGTGTGTTTTAACACCACAGTATATCGGCATTACTATTCACTGAGTCACCCACACACTTCTCCTTTTCGCCAGTCCTCATTCTTCCAGAGTCTGAGGCTTCTATCTGAGGTTCTCTTTGCCCAAAGGTCACTCTTCAGGACAGAAATGTTGATGACAAACTACTGCTTGGAATTGTTTATTTTGCCCTAATTTTTGAAAGTTTTATTTTCTGAAGATGAATTCCAAGTTGGAAATAATTTCTTTTGTACTCTGAAGATAGCATCACTTTAGTCACCAAGCAGCTGCCTTGTCTTCTTGTCATTCACTCAAAAAGATACTGTCTTTTTCCTCTCCAGGCTTAACATTGCCCTACCTCTGGTTCTTAGCTATGGCTTTCTTCATCACTCACCATTTCTACTTGGTCACCTTCATGTGTGGATCGCACTTCAAGTTTATAATACACACCGAAAGGATTTTCATTGTATTAGATAACCACTCCACAGGTTAACAGAAGCTATTAGGATTTCGTCACTGTTGAAGTCCTACAGGGTGACAAGTGTGTAACAAGGAGACAGAACTAGACAGGCAAGTGACCTGGTCAGGTAGATAAGACAAGTGATTATGAGTCCTGTGACTGTAATGTCAACATTCTTTTCATTACTGGGTAGCATCTCTCATCCCAGCATATCTGGCCCATTACTATAGATCCTGGTAGGCTTCTCTGCCTCTGCCCTTCTCTCACACATCACACTCAGATGAAACAGTTTGCATTAAAAGGTACCACATAAGTTTTCAATGATTTTTTTCTACTGTATAGACAATAAAAACCAGAACTTTGTCACTGCTTTATGCATGTAATCATTAAACTGGTTCCCTCTTGTTTCCTTCAAATATACTTGTCAAATAAACTTTCAACTTTCCTGAAGCTGTGTCTTTGCTTTAAGCAGTGTTTCCTTTACTTGAATGGCAAATCCCTGAGTATCAATTATTTTAGGGGAACTGGACATGTGTTACATATTACATATGTAATATACATATAGGCTTATAGTTTTATAGACTGAGCATCTGTGGAACTACCACCTGTGTGTGTTAGTGGAGAATGGGCAGGGAGTGTCCAGTAGAAGTACTGTTTTTCTCTAGTTTTGATCATGCTTCTCTGAGAACTAGAAAAATTAGGCAAAAAACCCTATCTGCTTAGAAGCACTGGGAAGCCCTTTTCTAGTCATTTCACATAAATGAAATCATTCAACATGTGGCCCTTGTGTTTGACTTTTCAGTTACATATTTTCAAGCTTCAAGATGCATCTGTAGTATGAATTAGTATTTTGTTGTTTTATACCATCCCACTATATGGTGGTACCACATTTTATGTAGCTGTCCATCAAATGATGGACAGATGGTTGTTTCCAGATGTGAAAGTACGTTTGTAGGGCAGAAAAAGCATAAGTGGATTTCTCTTATCTTCTAAGCAAAACGGTTATAACAAAAGTTTCTGTGAAATTCTTTTCCATCCCAACAGGTACCTACTTATTTAAAGGTGATGCTGGCTATAAGCAATAACTCTGCAAAGGAATGTAAAAATCCCTTTTAGTGACTGAGTGGATGTTATGGGTTACATATATATTTTGAAGCAGTAAATTAATAGTCAAAAAAACGAGAAAATGAAACATTCAATGTGAAGAGTATGAGCTTTAAGATCAAACTGAATGCTTAGGTTTAAGCCTTGGCTCTTACTGTGTGATGCTGAATCTTTAAATGTGTAAGACAGAGGTGAGGAGGTAATGAATTAAAAGACTGAGCACACTATAGTTCAAATAATAACTATTAACACTTCAGAAGTTTAGGCACCCAATATTTTCATTTCTTTCATCCTTGGTTATTATTTTCATTTGCAGTGTTTCCACGCAGCTTATTTGCAAAGCCACTAATAAGAGGGTTACAGTGAAACTTCATTTATCCAAAATGTTTGAGAAAGCTTTCTGTCTGGGTGGGTAAGTTCCTATCAATTCCTTTATAGGTATCCAAATGATATCAACTAATAGGAGATAAATGTTTCTGAAACTTACTTCCCTGCTCTCTTAGCAAGAGTATACTGGTGGTAGTTAAACATTTTCTTGATGAATGACCATTATGATGAGTATCAATTATAACCAAAAATTTTGCAGTCCCTGAAGGCTTACCAGTAGGATACTACTTGACCCTAGCTGTGAATCTTTAACATGAAGTCCATACAGAGTTGGGGGGCAGTGAACCTGAATGGGGAAGAAAAGTACATCTTTATTTTACCAATGGGAAAGCAGCATTACCTTCAATTATGAATGTAAGCAACAGGTGAACCTACTCCACCAGCAATGGGAATCCGCACATACTTTGTGTTACATTAGAGCTGTTGCCAACTCCGGATATCATTATTTCAAATACTTGGTCCTTTTTAGACTCACCATGAATCTCACCACATTAATTAAGGCGCATATATTCCTATTAAAATTTTATTTTCTATATTTTGAGACTTCAGATTGTTACCTTTTATAATGATATGAATTTTGTCCCATATATCCACTATGTGTCATGTTTAAATATTATAATAATCAAGATGAGTCCATAGCTTCACCATTCTGCCAACGTGGTTGGAGTCACCAAAAACGTTAAGGACTCTGACCTAAAGTTTGTCCCAGCGTGTACAGGCGCTCCTCGTTCACAGTGTTAACATGACGCATTACACACTGTCATACCGAAGCTCGTGTAGT